GATAGAAAACCTCAAGCCCTAAAATGATATTCAGATGATGCTGAATAGCAAGTGTCCCTGGTGCAAGTAAGAAGTAAACAGAATACTCACTGGAGAAAGCCAGTATCATTTAAGACCTAAAATGATTTCTAAAAATATTTCTAAAAATAATTTTTCAAATACAATATCTAATATTCAACTAAGATAACTTAATATGGTGCCTGGAAATGGGAACTCCAGGGATATAAAAGCACACTTTAAGAGGGAAACCAAAAGACTGCAGTTTGAGTTTGTAAATTATCATTACTTGGTAGAAGAAATAAGCCTCTTAAGCAAATTTAGCATATGCAAATCCAGATTTACAAAGGGGATATATGATGGGGTAATTTACAAGAGGATACATTATAGTATTACAAAGGTGGTATTTAGAAAAATGAATTTATACTCAGTTTTCTAGGAATATGGCCTATCAGACAACTGGGGACCTAAGATTTAGAGACACCATAAAGGGGACGTGATAACCAATATGGGAAGTATTAGTTGTGGCTACACGTAAGAGAAAATTCCCTAAATAATAGTGTTTTAAGTAAAATGGAAGTTTATTTCTCTGTCATATAAGAGAAGCCTAGAGCTAGACAAAAATCAGGGCTGCCTCAGCAGCTCCATAATGTCAACAGGGACGATGACACCCATCTTTTTGCTCCACTGTTTTCACTTACAGCTTCTTTCCTCAAGGTCAATGACTGCATAGTCCAAGATGGCTGCTGGAATCTAGCCATCCCATTATGTTGCAAGTCAGTTTCCCTTGAGCAGCCTTCTTCTATCATATAACACTTATATGTTAATAAGTGGACAGAACCAAGTCACACGGCCACCCTTAGCTGCAAGGGAAGCTGGGAAATGTAATCCTTTTGTGTGGGGGCAAAATGTGTCCATTCTAAGTTGGGGATTTATTACTAAGGAGAAAGGAAAAACGGATGCTGCACTGGGTAGCTAGTGGTCTCTATCACAACAGTAAATAAGGGATCAAAACTTTAAAAGGAAGTATGCTAAAGTCTCAAGTAGTATTTCATAGGTATTATATAACATTAAAAATATAGACAGGTAATATATAATGAAACTGTTACACACAGGTTATTAGAAGCAATGAAATTGATACAATACTTTCAAATAATTTAGGATGTTTACAGATTTTAAAATGTTCATCTTGCCCTTTGGCACAGCAATCCCACTCATGGAAATTTGCCTAAAGGAAAAAAGAAATACCGAAACAACTGAGATGCTTGTAGAATGTTATTTAAAATAGGGAAGTACTTGGATTAATACACATGCTTAGTATTGGGGGCAGCGAAGTATAGTGCATTAATTCAATGGACAAATATAGAGTAATGAAAACCAGTAACCCCAAAACTATAATAACATGGAGTAGATATTTAATACATAAAGATAATAAAGCTACAAATTTGTAATTACAACTTGATTTTGAATATTCCTATGAGTAAGAACCAAATGATAATTAGGAAATTGGGAAAGTTGACTTGTTGGCAGAGAATTGTAGATGCTTCTCTATAGATGCTTCTTATTTTTACTGTTAAATAATATTGTGTAATATTTTGAAATTTTTTTCAAATCCAATGTATTCATAAATAATTACATAATAATAAAAGATAACTGCATATATCATAAGGAGTTTCTAAAATTTTAGAGCTTTGGAATTTGAAGAGTGAGACAGTTCCTCACAATGGATAGGGTTACAAGTTTTTGAGCCACATAGATCTGGATTCAAATTCTGCATCTCCATTAACTAGCTCCATGAATTTGAGCCTTATTTCCTCAGCCATAAAAGGGAGATGATACCTAAGTTCTCATGTGAAAATTATTTAGATCAGGAAGCATACTTTCAACAAATTGTGGTCACCAAGGAAGAATGTCTTCATCTTCAAAAGGTCAGTCTAACCAGATCCTTACTTTGAGTCAGTGTGGCTTTGACAGAGAGAAAGTCAGGAATTAATTCAAGGCGAGAAGCACAACTTTCATTAAAAATCCTAAAGAGGGCGCCTGGGTGGCTCAGTCAGCTGAGCATCTGACTTCTGCTCAGGTCATGATCTCACAGCTCATGGGTTCAATCCCCATATGGGGCTCTTGTGCTGACAGCTCAGAGCCTGGAGCCTGCTTCAGATTCTGTGTCTCCCTCGCTCTCTGCCCCTCCCCCACTCATACTCTATCTCTGTCTCAGAAATAAATAAAACATTAAAAAAATTAAAAAAAAATCCTAACAGTGTAGAGAAGGGAAATTATTTTTTTTCTCCTCTTTTAGGTTCTTGGCTAGGTCTCTTTAATAAAAGACAGATTAATAAGAGAAAGACCAAATTTTATTAATATGTATATCTCATATACAGTTGACCTTTGAACAATGTGGGGTTTGGGGCACCAACCCCCATGCAATCGAAAATCCATGTATAACTTTTGACTCTCCAAAAACTTAACTACTAATAGTCTACTGTTAACTGGAAGCCTTACTGATAACATACACAGTCTATTAACACATATTTTCTGTGTGTAGATATAATATACTCTACTCTTACAATACAGTGAGCTGGAGAAAAGAAAATGTCAAGAAAATTACAAGAATGCACCGCGCTCTATTCTTCAAAAGAAAAATCAGCATGTGAGTGGACCTGTGTAGTTCAAACCTATGTTATTCAAGGGTCAACTATATATGTGGGAGAAACTCAGGGATGGGTAACTCAAAGTGGCAGCTAGAACTTTGTATAGCATCTTAACAAGGGAACAATCAACTTAGAAATAACAGGACAGAGGGAAAGGGTTTTAGGCTTTCACGGGCAGAAACTGTGGGAAGGTAAATATATGAGGGGAAACCAATGGAGCAAAGTTTGCAGATTCCTCTGGTGGCACTTCTGGGCTGAGCTTAGAGCTGTCTCCAGCAAAGGAAATTTATATCCTGCCTTTAGACAGAAAGGAGGAGTGTAGAGAAATTTTCCTGATTTTATTGCTGCTTAATTACCTTCAGCTCAAAATAATTATGTCAAAGAGGCATGTTTTGAAGTGAAATATTCTGATTTCCTTCACCAGTAAGGTTGTTTTCCAGGACTTTTGCATTCCTATCATAAACTTTGCTATTCCAAGGAGAGGGTGTTTCATGATGTATGGTATGGAAGGCTTATAGAAAGGAAAGCAACACTGTGCTTCTCAGAGCTGCTTGACCCCATATGAAGTATAAATGGTCAGTTATAGTTATATACCGGTTTTAAATATATGCATGTATACGTACTTATTTTAAAAAACAAAATATCTATTACTATTATTGTCAGACAATTCTTATTGTGTTTGTATTAACAATGACCAGCCAATTGGGTTGCTTAAGCAACCATAAGCAACGAAAGGATAAGGTGATCAGTTGAGTTATATTTAATGTCATAATTTCTCTGCCTCAGGGAGGGTATTTTAAAATCAGAGAATCAGGGGCGCCTGGGTGGCTCAGTAGGTTGAGTGTCTGACTCTTGATTTTGGTCTCATGGTTGTGGGATCGAGCCCTTCAGTGGGCTCTACGCTGGTGCATGGATCCTGCTTGGGATTCTCTCTTTCCCTGTCCCTTCTCTGCTCGTGCTCTCTCTCTCTCTCAAAATAAATAAATATACATTAAAAAATAAATATACATTAAAAAAATTAGATGAATCAGTAGTAGAGTAGGGGGAAAAGGAGATCATAGGGAAAGGGAAGGAAGACCAGGGAAGAGAGTGGTTTTACAGAAAGCAGAAACCAAGGTGCGGATGTAAGGGGGGTTACCATGGATGACAGCTCTTCTGATTTTTAAAAGCCTTAATTTAAAGCCTCTGTTTTATTCAACATGGTGGTCACTCCTCCCACAGCCACAATTATCTGAGATACAGGGCTGTCCATATTCCTGTAATTTCCTCACTACCACAAAGCAAAAATGAAAACAAAAAGTGAAATAAAAATAATTACCAAGAAAAAAAAAAAAAGGGGGGCGCCTGGGTGGCTCAGTCGGTTAAGCGTCCGACTTCAGCTCAGGTCACGATCTCGCGGTCCGTGAGTTCGAGCCCCGCATCGGGCTCTGGGCTGATGGCTCGGAGCCTGGAGCCTGCTTCCGATTCTGTGTCTCCCTCTCTCTCTGCCCCTCCCCCATTCATGCTCTGTCTCTCTCTGTCCCAAAAATAAATAAACGTTAAAAAAAAATTAAAAAAAAAAATTACCAGGGCTCCTGTGAGATGGCCTCTTTGCCCACCTCTCCATTCTCTGCTTTACACTTATGTGAGTGCTTTTTCTAGTTCCAGAAATATAAGCAACACCACTCTACGCATTTTCTCTTATTGCTTCCTTGGCCTGGAATGCTACTCTCCCCTTTCTTTGTCTGGTTAGCAATCTTTTACTTTCGAAAACTCTAATATCATCTGTCAGGAAGACTTCCCTAATACCTTTCTGAGCGCTGGCCTGCCAGTTCTGCACGTGCTTCTTTTCCTTTTTAAAAAATATTCTATGTAATATTCCATGTAATTTTATTTAATTTTGATGTCAGTCTCTTAGGCCCCATGGTACTATTTAATCTTTGCATCCTGTCCCCTAGCAGGGTTTGCACCCAAGAAACGTTTATATGACTGAAATGAACCCACGTTTGGTCCCCATGAGACCCCATGACCTCCGACACAGACCCCGGGCTCAGAATCTATAAACTATCCCTCAAAATCACCAGGGCTCACAAGTGCCTACAGGACACAAATTCTTTTCGCAGTGTTTGAAATGTATGAGGTCCCCATTACTCATCTTAGGTCATGGCTCCCAGCGTGGGCTAACCCTGATCCGTCAGCGGGGAAAGGGAAATCTAACTTCTAGGAAATACTCCAGGTCTGCTCTAGGGGAAAGCAGAACTGTGACGCACAAGGAGCCGCTTCGGGCCCCGCTTGAAGTCAGTCCGACCTGGACTCCCACGGGCCCCTCCACGCTCTAGGTTTCCTTGTGGGCAGCATCCAGGTGGGTGTCACGTCCGTGCCCCGTGAGTTGGCGAACGTCACCGTACTTCTGACCCGACCCCTGCAGGCAGCAGCAGCAGCAGCCGCGGGATGGGGTGGGTGTCGCCTCGCGGGGGCCACGCTCTCCCCTCCGCGACGAGCAGGTGGCCGTACTAAGGAGGGGAAGCCCCTGGGGTTCGAGGCCCAGCATCCCGGAAACCCCGAGGGAAGAAGGAGGGCCCGGGAGGACCTGATCGTTTCTCCCGAGTTGCTCAAGAGCTGCGGAGGCCGGGCCGGCTGGGACGGCCCCGGGCATCCCCGCCCTCCCGCGCCGACCCCCGCCGAGTCCGAACCAAAAGCGAAAGGAGTCCGGCGCCGCGAGGAGGTCGCCGCGCGCCTCCAAGCCCTCGGGGGCCGCCGTTTTGTGACTTCACCGGTTTCGCAACAAGCCCAGGCCGCCCGCGCCCCACCCACCCCCGGCCGGCCGCCTCGCCGCCCGCCGCCTCGCTGGGCTCTCCGCGCCTTCCTCCGTCCGAGGCCGGGCCTGCCCCGCCGTCGCGGAGCCTCCCGTCCGGCAGCCGCCTGCGGGCCAGCACGTGCGCGACTCCCGCGCCCCGCGCCCCGCGCCGCGCCCCTCTGGGCGCAGCGCCCTCCCGGCGGCGGCGCTATGCTGTGCTTCCTGAGGGGAATGGCCTTCGTGCCCTTTCTTCTGGTGACCTGGTCGTCCGCCGCCTTCATCATCTCCTACGTGGTCGCGGTGCTCTCGGGGCACGTCAACCCCTTCCTACCCTACATCAGGTGAGGGCTGGGCGGCGGGGGCCCGGGGCCGGGCAGAGAGGGCGGCGTTGTCGCTGCGGCGGAAAGGGTCCCGACCCAGCCGTCCCGCGGACAGCCCCAGGTCCGACGACGCGGGGGAGCGCGCTCCTGGCGGCCGGGACCGGTAGGGAGCCCGCGGGTGCAGAGCCCGGCGGTTCTGACTTTACCCTGAACACTGAACCCAGTGGCGTCGGGAGGGGCCCAGGACAGACGGTAGAACTTCCGACGGACTGTGGGACAGAATCCCTGGAAGATGCTTCTTGGGCGGTATTGAAGGAAGAATGGGTCCTGATGGATGCCATTTATTGAGTGTGCAAGAGGCAGATCCAGGTGTGTGCTAAAACAGCTCACATACTTCCTTCCCAGCATCCTCGTGATGGATGTCCGACTGTTTTTCATACAAGGAAACCAAGTTTAAGCAGATGTTGAAATATCATCAATATGACACTGATGTCACAGTTAGAAATGAAGGAAGTGGAATTCACGCCCAAGTCCGTCCCATGCCCAAAGCAACACTTTGCCACTTCCAAGGATTTGGGAGTCAGGCTTAAGCATTTCTCGATGGAGCTGCCTAAGATCCCTTTGGATACTGCACCCCCAAAGTCAGAGCCCTCAAATTATCAGCAGCTTATGACATCTTTTGTGTTGCCATTGTACCATTTTTGTTGTTGTTTGTTTTTTGGTTTTTGGGGGTTTTTTTGGTGAGTTTTGGCCTCTACCTTTCTTGAGGGTCACTTCGTTGGTGCCCGGGAGATCTTGATCCTTTTCAAATGCCTCCCAGCTCTGTGCCTAGACCATGGCAATGGGCATTCCTTAAACATTAGAAGGATCCATCTTTATCCAAGTGGTGTAACCTGCATTGGTTGGTGAGGGAATAGTAAAGTTGGTGACAACCAAGGTTTGTTACCACTTGATGGTTATAGAGATTGTAGGGCCTCTCCCTCCTGCAGCCATGCTGCGTGGTGAGCAACATTCTGTTATGTTTGTGGGCCAGGAAGGGGAAACAAAGAAGGTGAGGCAAGAGGAGACTAGAGTTTGAAGCAAAGAAGAACGCAATGTGGAGAATAGTGCAGAAAAGCAAATCTGCAGTTAACAGTGGTTTTGCCCACTTAAGAAGTGTTCCATGCATCAAGGAGACTTTCCCATCAGGCCTTGCACCCTGCGGAAACCTGGACTGGGTTTCTCATGGCTCATCTCAGTCCCACATGGCATTGTCTGGTTTCTCTTGATTCTGAAGTGGGATAGATCCTCTTGGACTCCTGTAAAAGGGAAGAGTTTCTCTCCCTACAATGCTTTTTATTGAGAAAATAGTAGCTGTGTTTGTCCTGGATATAAATGTCAGGAACAGATAATATTTGGTACTTATTGGTGAAGGGGTGAGAGGCAGAGCTTGAGTCTTTGTGGAGATGTCCGATGTAGTTGTGATTCATAGCACCCCAAGGTGAACTTGAAATGGAAGACGTTCAGAAATGGGGAAATGATGGGGCGCCTGGGTGGCTCAGTCGGTTAAGCGTCCGACTTCAGCCAGGTCACGATCTCGCGGTCCGTGAGTTCGAGCCCCGCATCAGGCTCTGGGCTGATGGCTCGGAGCCTGGAGCCTGTTTCCGATTCTGTGTCTCCCTCTCTCTCTGCCCCTCCCCCCTTCATGTTCTGTCTCTCTGTGTCTCAAAATAAATAAACATTAAAAAAAAATTAAAAAAAAAAAAGAAATGGGGAAATGAGCTGACAAGGCGAACCACTTGTGAGATGCTCAAATCACAGACAGTCCAAAGAGCAGGTGTTTAATTCAACAAGGAAAGGAAGCCTTCAGGAAAAGCAGGTTTACAGGAGAAAAAGGCTGAAGATGGTCACCTTGTTGCCGGAGCCAACAGCCTATAAAGCACTTGTCCACATGTGCTGGGGCAGGGGGTGGGGGGCAGTTTAGGTTGTCTGCTCTCCTGACTACTTGAGCAGCTAGAGCACTAGATCATCTCTGTCCCTCCTAGAAAACTAAGTCATTGAGGCAAAGGCAAGATTTAGATTAAGAGCAAGAAGTGATGGGAATAACACCAGATTTATCCATTTGGCCCCAGCAATGTTCAATCTTATCTCCTATAACTTATCTCTACTGTCTGTGTCTCCTGTTTTGCCTTACCCTCATTCCCTCCACCTCCCTCCAAGCACACTGGCCCACCTTCCTGTCTCTTGATCAAGTTAGGCCCACCACCTCCTCATGACCTTTGCCTTGACTGTTCCTCTGCCAGATGGAGTACCTTCCTCCAGGTACTGTCAGGCTTTCTCCTTTACCTCCTCCTCTGTTCAAATATTGGTAAGGCCTATTGCCCTATTTAAAATTGCACGTGGGGGGCCTGGGTGACTCAGTCGGTTAAGCATCTGACTTTGGCTCAGGTCATGGTCTCTCAGTTTGTGAGTTTGAGCCACGCGTCGGGCTCTGTGCTGACAGCTCAGAGCCTGGAGTCTGCTTCGAATTCTGTCTCCCTCTCTCTCTGCCCCTTCCCCACTCATGCTCTCTCTCTCAAAGAGAAATAAACATTTAAAAAAATAATAAAATAAAATTGCACGCTAGTGTTGCTGATCCCCTATATCTAGTCTAATTATTCACCATAGCATCATCTATCATCTTGCAACAAACTATATGATTAACTGATTTTTTTAATGTTTATTTATTTATTTTGAGAGAGAGCAAGTGCGTGCATGAGCAAGGGAGGGGCAGAGAGAGAGGGAGAGAAAGAATCCCAAGCAAGCTCCCTGCTGACCTGCTACAGGGCTCAAACTCATGAATGGTGAGATCATGATCTGAACTGAAATCAAGAGTCGGTCTCTTAACTAAGCCACCCAGGTGCCCCTTAACTTTGATTATCAGTCTTCCCTCACTGGAATGTAAGATCCATGAAGGCTTTTGATATTTGTTGAATTCATATTTCTTGGGCATTCACTATTGATATTGTTATTTTTTTCCCCTAGGGCAATATCCCTTTAGGGATGATAAGGTCATTGGTCATTGATCAGCGATACGGATGTATTCAGGATGATCCCCTTTTACATGATGACATTGTTCAACCAATCTGATGTTCTGGAATTTCTTAACAACGTTGAACACTTTAAGAGCCATTGCATTTTAAATAAGAACCATGATCCTGGGAGGACCCCTTTTCAATATGACATTCAAACTCAGCTTTCTCATCACAAATCTTCTTGTAACATTGTTATTCTTCAGCATATTGGTCAAATGAGCAAATAATTCTTAGACATATAGAAGGATGCTCAGCCTCATGAATGGGATAAAAATTCAAATTAAAACTCACTGATGTCATTTTTCATGATTGGATCAGCAGAAAACTAAATGTTTGATAACATTGGTATTGATATTGGTGAGACTTAGGGGAAACAGGCTTTCATATGTGCTGGTGGGAATGTAAATAGATTCAGTCTCTATGGAGGCACTTGGCATCTATCAAGATGACAAAAATATATCTGCAAGGGTACTTATAGCATTACTTTTAATAACAAAAGGATGAAGCAATGCAGATTTCCATCAGGGAGGACTGGCTAAATAAATATGGTTTATCCAAAGAATACCTCAAAGGAAAGCCCTCCCTATATAGAATACTCTTTTTTTTTCTTAATTTTTTTAAATTTGTTTTTATATTTTATTTATTTTTGAGAGAGAGAGAGAGACAGAGCATGAATGGGGGAGGAGCAGAGAGAGAGGGAGATGCAGAATCTGAAGCAGGCTCCAGGCTCAGAGCTGTCAGCACAGAGCCTGATGTGGGGCTCAAACTCATGAACCGTGAGATCATGACCTGAGCCAAAGTCGGACACTTAACCTAACTGACTGAGCCACCCGGGCACCTCATCTTTTTTTTTTTTTTTTTGAGAGAGAGAGAGACAGAGCGTGAGCAGGGAAGGGGAAGAGAGAGAAGACAAAGAATCTGAAGCTGGCTCCAGGCTCAGGGCTGTCAGCACAGTGTCCCCCATGGGGCTTGAACTCACGAACCGTGAGATCATGACCTGAGCCGAAATCAGATGCTTAACCGACTGAGCTACCCAGGCGTCCCTAGAATACTGTTTTTAAATTAATACATTGGTATGCAAAAATCTCCAATACATTGTTACATGGAAAAAAGCAAGATGCAGAGCAAAATATGCCACTATTAGTGGGGTGGGGGTGAGAGAAGTTAGAGGGTGGAGGGAGTAATAGTGTATGTTTGTATTTGCTTGCATAAAGAAGCTAATAAAAGTGGTTTGTGTATGATCGAGGGAGGAGGTCCTGGTCACTTAGAGTTTAGCAGTTGGAAAAGAGAGTAGGAATAAACCCTTGTGCCACCCTTTTTAAATTAATCCTCTTATTTAGAGATAAATGGAGATTTCCATGTAGTAATAAAACAATAATACAGAAAGATCTCATGTGTCTTTTACTCAGTTTCTCCCAAACGTAACATTCCCATACCTGGCATGCCTTATCTTATGTATTTATTTTTTAGCCACATGGCTTGGTTTCCTACCGAAAATCGAATTAGAGAGATGTGATTCAAACAACCACTAAATTTAACAAGCTGGAATAGCATAGTGCGATGCTTCTGTATTATGAAACTATTAATGCAAAGATATCAAAACCGAGGACAAGTTAAAGTCAACCTCAAAGGATTAGTTTAAATTTTTACAAGGCCACACCCACATTCTCGAGCACAATCATGCTTAATTTGTTATAGTTTCTTACATTCCCTTTGTAACCAAATCTTGCAGGCTATCGTGAATCAACTTTACATATTAATTCCTTCCAGCCAATAAGCCACTTTCTTTTATTTATTTTTTTTTAAATTTTTTTTCAACGTTTTTATTTATTTTTGGGACAGAGAGAGACAGAGCATGAATGGGGGAGGGGCAGAGAGAGAGGGAGACACAGAATCGGAAACAGGCTCCAGGCTCCGAGCCATCAGCCCAGAGCCTGACGCGGGGCTCGAACTCATGGACCGCGAGAT